GAGCCCCGCCATGCAGCCCTCGCAGTGCGCCCGCCTGCTCCTTCTGCTCGCCCTGCTCGCCCTCTGCTTGGTAAGAGAAACCCACAGCCCTGGGGAGCCCCCAAAGCCGGGGGTTCAGCCAGATCCACCCTAACTGCAGGATTCACGGAGCGGGAGAAATCCTGCCCGCAGCCAGACAGCAGAGCATCTTTTACCTTAACTCTGGCTGTCCTATAGGAAGCTTTGCACTATGATCTGCAGAAGTTAAATAATTCTGTGGGGTTTTAAGTCTTTTTTTAGTGCGTGTGCTTTGTCCTGCCTCTCCCTGCTGCAGGTTATTTTTCTTTCCCTTTGGGGAGGCTTGATTGAACCCACGCGCAGCACTTCGCAGGTCGCGCTCTGCTGTCTGTGGGTTGAGGACCGTTTTGGGGCAGCCTGTTTGTGCCTGTGTTTTTAGGGAGGGGGGTGCTGTCCCAAGCAGCTCCTGTGACTGTTTCTCCACAGCTTCTTCCCACATCGTTTGGGCTTTTGTCAGTCACAAATGTGACAGGTGACATGACCTGCTGCAGGCTCTGCTGCATGCGTTTACAGGGCGGCTGTGCCAGTTTGGTGGGCAAACCCACGAGCTGCAGCCCAAAACACTCTGCAAGTTCCCAGCCCCGCACCGGGGAGCGGTGCAAACAAGGGCAGGTTCACAGCGACCCACTTCCAGCAGCCGAGGCAGCGCTTGTCCTTGTGCTATAACCTGCTGCTCACTAATCCCCAGGAAGGACCAAACACCTCGAGCAGAGTTACGTACAGCTAGGGCAGGAGGAATTCAAGTAAATGCCTTTAACTGGGACGGAGAGGGCTTTAGAGAGGGAAGGAGACTGTTCTCAAATTACCATCCAGGTTCTCTTGCCGTTTCGTGTCCTGATAACCGCAAGTGTTTCAGATTGCAGCAACCGTTGGGTCCTTCTGGCTTGGCCCCCACCACTTCCCTGCCAGCGCTGAGAGCAGCTCCAACTGCCACTACCCCACAGTGCCTCAAGGAAGGGGGTTCTCTTTCCTCCCGCCTTCCTTTTCCATCACAAGGGGGTTACCAGCCCCGTGTCTCCATCCCACATCCTCTGCCGTGGGGCTCCCAAGCCCCCACATCCTCATCTGCTTCCTCAGAGCGGTCTGGAGGGGCGGAGGCAGCTGCTCTCCCTCTGCCTCCCACTTTCTATAGGCACCTGCAGGTTAGAAACAGGGAACAACATGAAGAAAGCCCTTGTTTTTCAGCCTCCTTTGGTTAAAAGAAAAGAGAAGCAGCGAGTGAATTGTATGTGACACGGGAGAAAGGGCCGGGGCTAAGATGCCTCCTCTCCTGTGGGGAAGGGACACAGGGATGTCCTCAGGCATGGGCAGAGGCCACGGGGCTGCCCTTGGGCTCCTTTGGGCATTCGTTTCTGCCTCATTTGCTCCTCAGGACACCTGAACTGAACAAGGCTGGGCAGGGGCAAGAAGCTGCTTCGGGGTTGGCATGGTTTGTGCTCCAGACACTGGAGATGGGTCACAGCACGGGCTCACCCTTCTTGGGGCATGATGCTGGGCCAGGTCCCTGTCCCCAGGGAGGGGCTGTTGTGGTGGCATAAGGCCCCCCAGATGAGGGGCGATGAGGGGGTTTCCAGCCTGCTTTTGAGCAGTGCCTGACTCTCCCATTTGCTCTTGCAGCCACTGGGCTGGGCGGAGGGCGACACTGTGGAGGACACAAGCAAGACTCCCCCTGCGCCCCCAAAACCTGCTAGCCTGGCCGCCCCAAGCTGCAGCACGGCCTTCGTCTCCCTGGTGCTGGGCCTGGCTACCAATTTCCTCCTGCCGCTGGACC